CTGATCGGTTCCTTTCTCATAATCCGAAAAAATAGTTTTAACAGTTAAGGTTTGGTCAATGGACCCCTTAATAAAGAGGAGGCTATCATCCGCAAATAAAAGGTGAGATATAGTAGGCCCATGTCTGTTTAGCTTAAACTCTTTAAGAGCACCTTTCTCACAAGTGTTCTTCAACAACAAAGAGAGAGCCTCAGCCACAAATAGAAACAAATAAGGAGATAAAGGACCCCCTTGCCTGAGTCCACATGATGGGTAAAAAGGTTCCAATAGTTGTCTGTTAAACCTCACCGAAAACTTCACAGAATTAACACAAGTCATAATCCAATTAATCCATGTTGGCACAAAACCAAGAGCCCCAAGCATACTTTTAAGAAATTGCCAGTCCACACGATCGTATGCTTTTGCCAAGTCCAACTTGTATGCGCAAAACTCTCCATGCTTATCTTTCAATGTACTCAGCGAGTGAATACATTCAAAAGCAATAAGCGCGTTATCAGAAATTAACCGCCCGGGGATAAAAGGCACTCTGAGTGGGAGAAATCATACCATTCAGGAGAGGTCTCAGCCTATTCACCAGACACTTTGATATAATTTTATAGATGATATTGCACAGGCTGATCTGTCTAAAGTCTTTGATGGACTGGGGGTTTTTCACTTTAGGAATAAGAACAATAGTGGTGTCATTTATACCATCGGGCATAACACCAGAGGTAAAGACCTGCTGGACTGCTCTTACAATATCCTCCTTTACTAATCACCAACTTCTCAGAAAAAATCTAGCCGGAAAACCATCCGGGCTACGAGCCTTTAGCGGACCAATCTGGAAGGGGGCATTACTAATCTATTCATCTGAAAAAGTTTTGCAGAGCTCCGCATTCATATCATCATTGATGAGAGGTTTCACAATTGAAATGATACGAGAAGGGTCAACATTAGAGTCACATGTATACAGATGCTGAAAAAACGTATTAGTGATACATTTGATTTCTTCCATATTCTCTGTAAGAGACCCATCATTCCTCTTGAGGGCAGAAATATTATTTTTCTTCGCTCTCCACGAGGCCTTTCTTCGGAGAAAACTTGTATTACGACCCCCACCCCAATATCTTTTGTCAATACATGACTTCTGCTTCCACATGGTTTCTTCCTTAATAAGAAGCTCGTCCATCTCCAGAAGAGTTTCCTTTCTCTCCAAAACAGCTGCCTTATCACTTCTATTATACAGAACATTCAATCTTTTGCAGGCAGCGTTAAGTCTTTTGGGGAGATAATCAATGTGAACCCTGCTCCGGGAATGCAGGGATTTCATTAATTTATCCAAATTACTTGCCACATCCTGAAGGTCCCTTACTTGCGTACTTTTATTCCATCAATTTCTAATGTGCTCATCCAATCCCTTACTCTCCCGCTCCCAATATGATTCATATCTCATATGTTTATTAAAAGAAACATTAGGCCGGTTGCCCAACAACTGAATGTATAGAGGATAGTGGTCTGACCTGGAAGATATAATATGTGAGACCTTGCAATGGGGATACAAAGCAGACCATTGAGGACATGCCACCGCCCGATCAAGCCGTACCTTCACGTTGCGATTTCCTTCTTGTTATTATCATAGATCCATGGCAATCCATGAAAGCCCAAATCAAAAAGGATACATTTAGAAAGAATCTCCCGGAAGTTTGCCATGAGATTAGAAGACCTCGTCGAGAAAAATGCTCATGCTGCCACATTGCTTCATTCAAAATCACCCACCAGACACCATGGCCCAGAACCAAGAGATTTTACCCATCGTAGGAGCTCCCACATGACATACCTTTGACATGCTTTCGGTTCTCCATAAACGAAAGTGCATCTCCATTTTGAACCATCACTATTAGAGATATACATATCAATAAAATGCTCACCAAATTTGTTTAACTCCATGGTGAAGCACTCATCCCAAAACACAGCTAAGCCACCACCTTTACCTTTAACTGAAACAGTAAACACACTTTTCATGCCCAACCGATACCGCAAACTCTCAACATATTCTTTATTTTGCCTTGTTTCGGAAAGAAAGATAATGTTGGGCTGGTAAGATTTATTGAGACAGACTAGTTCTTGAACTGTACGAGGCCGACCCAGCCCTCGACAGTTCCAGTTAAGCATTTTCATGGCTCCTGACGGGCGACATTAGACGCGCCGATCAGTTGACCGACAGCCCCCCGGGTCAGTTGCTACCTTTGTAGACACCCCATCCTCTTTTCCTTCCCCCACAGACTCTCTCCTCTGACCCTGAACTTCCTCCTCTCCCCCATCTACCTCTTTCGTTACATGAATCATAATTCCCATCTATATCTACATCAGCCTCCACTCTCTCCCCACACACTTTCTTACAAACTCGAAGAACCACACCGGCTCCCCTACCCTCAAACCTCTCAGAACTAATACTATCAAAACTAAGAACAAGGTCTTGGCCTTCCAAACATCTTTTCTTGTTGCCCGCTGAGCTCTCTAGAATATCAGCGAAAGCGGCCTTGCGACCGGAAAGGTCGCTGCCACTGTTCGGTGGGGTTGGGACCCCGAACTGTACGTGTTTCACACGCGCCGCCTGAACGATGGCCCGTTCCTCCTGCTCCTCTCTATGAAGCCTTTTCCAGCGCGCCAACTTCGTCGAGCCACCGGAGGCAGGCAGGCCCTGTTGGCAACCCCCGGCAAGCACGTCCATCTTGGTGCCCAGCCGAGCGTCAGCTCCATGTTGAGCAGTCACTCCCTCCCCCAATGTTAATCTTGTCAAACGTATACATTTAAGATCCTCATGCACATTATGCAGCACTGTTGACTTTTTTGCGGTTAAATCATTTTTCTTCTTCATCATCCAATGTGATTCGAAAATGTTTCGTAGAAATATTACTCCATGAATTATGAAGAACATTGTCGTTACAGTACTCTTGATTAGACATACTTGTTTAATTACTCTAGTGATTCAGAGTTCAGACTACCAAAAGTTAAAAGAGTAGTGGTACCACGGCTGATGTGGCTACTCCCGTATGAATGATGTTACACAGACGACTTCTATACCACGACGAAGATTGAGCCATACATATAATAAACGCGTTCATTTTCCTTTTATTTCTTATCCCCACTTTAAGAATGCACCTAATGAAAGTTTACGATGTTGGATTCTAATATCCCACAGCAAAGCGCGTGGGGGTATCATCTACTCTCTCCGTTTCTAAACATTTATCTTTCTAGACATTTCAAATGGACTATAACATACGGATCCAGAGTCTAGATTTATCAAAAACGCTCTTATACTATGGGATGAAGGGGTTAGTCAGTTGTTGAAGTCTGTAGAAAGACAAATATTTGGGAAGTAAACCACGTAAGCTAGGCCCCAACGTAACTAGGCTGATCTGGACCATCTGTGCCTCTCCACCTTGTTCAATCGTGGCCGTTCGTTATCTGAATGGGTGTCAACTGAATGACGACAGAGTATCAGGTTCAGTTTTGGACCTCACACGCCGCCCCCTCCGCCCTCTCCTCCCGCCGCCCCGCCGGCGGCGCCCCCATCGCCTGCTCGTAGTGCCCCAGGGGGAGGCGCCGCTTGCCTTCGCCCAGGCCCAGGCGCTCTCCAGCCCCATCAGGCCTCCCTCCGCGCGGTCGCTGCGTCGCGGCAGCGGGCCACAGATCGCGCCGCCGGCGCCTCACATCTCCTCCCCCCCTGCTTCTGCTCCGGCGGTGGTCGCGAGGCGTGGCGGCTCCTGATCCGGCCCTGGAACCGGTAGGACGAGGAGGGTTGTCCACGGAACTGCGCAACGACGCCGCGCCGTACGGCCTCGGCGGCCCAGCGACGCCACAGGCACGCACCCTTGGTAACTCGATTTTCTGCCCTGTTTTTCCATTTGTCTGGCTCGTGGATATCACCTCACTGTCATGTGCCGCCGTGGCTTGCCGACCAAATTGGTTTGTCACAATTTCATAAATTTGCAGGCTGATATATAGAATTAGAACTACTGTTAGGCTAAGATACTGGGCTTTCTAATGTTGGGAAAACAAGTGTGTCTTCAAATGCAGCTAGCTTAAAAATGCGTCTTCAATGGCATTGTGGTGATCTAGGAATTGACGTTGGATATTTAGTATTTAGTCAGGTAATATGCTTGAAATCTATGTTCGGTCGATAGCATTGTGAGTAGGTTGTCGACTTGTCCACCTAGTTATGGGAGTAAAGCTCTGTTTTCAGGTTTTTCTTGTGATTGCTGAAGTCATGAATCAAGGAGAAAAAACTTGATAACTTTGTATCAGGTCGGAGGCAACCGAGCCCATGATTTAGTGAATTAATAATGGCGCTGTGTAATGTTTTGGGCTCAGCAGATCTGAAATTGTGGGCACTATTCCATTCCCCCTTAACCCCTAGCTACCATGGTTTGCATTTGGATTGTAAACAGAGAAGGAGTGACTTCATTCTTATCTCACTGACAAATAACAGATAGTGTTTCAGTTGATCAGTTACCGCTCAATTTTTTGGTAAAAGCCACACAAATCAAAAGGGCACTTTATTTCCTAGAAAAAAACATGGACTGTTATTGTCAAGATGGGTGTACCACAGTCTTGTTTGCTCTTTTCCGACATTCTTTTCTATAACTGATTAGGATCCTTAATCATGTTGGTGGTCACTTAGGCAGTTTCACTTTTAAGTTTGGAGTTGTACTCTGATGTAAGAGACTGTCTGAAACCTTGGACCGTCTTAGCTCGCATTATAGGTGATTTTGATTAAAGGATAATTTGTATATTTACTGGCAGATCTGTACATTGTTTAGTACAAGTTCTCAAATGTGCAATTTGTATTGACTGTTCAATAGTTCTTCTGAATTTTTTTTTTGTGGGATTGCAGGCAGAAGTAGCAGTTGTGCCAAATTCTACATTCGTATATGATATTTATTAATAGGAGGTATCAGTGGTGGGCTGATCCCTTGGGAGAATGGAAGGCAATAACCTTCGGATGACAATCCACTCCCATGGCGGCGACATCAACCACAGCCACGGTCACACCGCTGTTAATCCACCTACTGCGCGGCGCCACCGACCACGCGTCTGTAGCCGCCACCCACGCAAAGCTGCTCAAGGTCGGCACCGCCTCCGCCGTCTCTTCTTGCAACCACATCATCGCTGCTTACTGTCGATGCGGCGTCACTGCCCGCGCCCACGACCTGTTCGATGGAATGCCCGAGCGGGACGTCATCTCCTGGACAGCCCTCATGTCTGGGTACTCTAGCACCGGCCGACCCCGCCTGGCTGTTTCCCTCCTCCGTGACATGTCTCACAGCGGCGTGCCACCGAATGCCTTCACCTTCTCGACTGCCGTCAGCGCATGCGCACGCCTTGCTGATGCTGGACTTGGGCGGAAAGTGCATGCCCGTGCTGAGGTCGAGGGCTACGCATCTGATGCTGTTGTTGCCACCGCGCTCGTTGACATGTATGGCAAGGCCGGAGATGTGGAGGCTGCACGTGCAGTGTTTGATGGTATGGCTGCTCCGGCGAGGAATGCGGTTTCATGGGGCTCGATGCTGTCTGTATATGCGCAGAATGCGCTTGGGCGTGAGGCCATCCAACTTTTCGCTGAGTTCAGAACCAAAGGTAATTTCATGGCGCCCAACCACTTCATGCTGTCAAGCGTTGTGAATGCGTGTGCAGGCGTTGGGCGGCTTGGAGTTGGCAAGTCTGTGCATGGAACTGCCCTTCGGTTTGGGCATGGATGTAATGGCGTGATTGTTGTGGCCTTGGTTGACATGTACTCCAAGTGTGGATTCTATGAGTACTCAAGAAAGTTGTTTGACAGGATTGAGCATCCATCGGTCATCTGCTATACCTCCATCATTGTGGCAGCAGCAAAGTATGGTCTTGGGAGATGCGCACTCACTTTTTTCAATGAGATGATCGATCGGGATGTGCAACCGAACAGTGTTACACTGCTTGGCGTCATGCATGCTTGCAGCCATTCAGGTCTTGTTGACACTGGCCTCCATCTCCTCCACTCCATGCAGAGCAAATATGACATCCATCCATGCGCCAGCCACTATACTTGTGCGGTTGACATGCTTGGCCGGGCAGGACGGCTCGAGGAGGCATTTGAGCTGGCCAACGAAGCGCAAGTTGAAGGCCGTGATGCCCTCATGCTGTGGAGCTCATTGCTGTCCGCTTGCCGGACACATAGGCGCTTAGATCTAGCCACCAGGGCTGCCCACAGAGTGTCAGAGTTCAACCAAGATGTAGCAGGTGCACTGGTAGTGATGTCAAACGCATACACTTCAGCCGGCCAGACTGACAATGCTGCTGCTGTATGGTCGAACATGAGGCGACGAGGCATACAGAAAGATCCTGGGTGCAGCTGGATTGAGATAAAGGACATACCCTACGTGTTCTACGCTGGATTGGTATCACCCTCCGGTGCAAGGGCAGGTGAAGTGATGATGTTGCTTGATGAGTTAGAGGGTAAGATGCGGGAGAAGGGTTACAAGGGTGGACTAGGTAGTAGCAGAGTCTTTGATGCTCATGAGGAGGATGGAGAGGACGGGAAAGGCGAGATGGTTGGAGTGCACAGTGAGTTATTGGCTTTGGGGTTTGGTTTGCTGGTTATCCCCAAGGGGATGACCATCAGGGTGATGAAGAACCTGAGGATGTGCTGTGACTGTCATGACGCGTTCAAGCTCATAAGTGACATTATGGAGCGCGAGTTCGTTGTGAGGGATCTGAATAGATTCCATCACTTCAAGATGGGGTCATGTTCTTGCAATGACTACTGGTGATTCAAGGCTGAAATCAAAGTGATTGTCAACTTTATGATACAGAAGGAAAACAACTTTTCTCCGAAGAGAATTTCTCAGTTTTCAAATCTGTCAGCAGCAACATTTTTCAGAAGGAAAACAACATTTTTCCACAAGAAAGTCAAAGGGCGATGTCAAAATGTTAGAGCGCAAACCAATCTTGATATTCTTCCAAAGGGAGTCAGTGGCAAGATTTTGTTGACCATAGTCTCCATAGGCCTGGACTTATCACATTTGCACATTATGAGTCTGACCTAATCCAACAGATCATTTGAATTCTTTTTAGAAGATATGCAACTCATCTTACAGAACCCAAAAGGTTAAAGTTGTGGACTGTAAGGAACTGGATTGTCTCTGGCTTTTGGCACTTCATAATTCATACTCTGGTATGGTGTCCAACATGAGTATCTCATTGTTCTTTAAGAGTATTTCAGTTGAGTTACAAATCTTATGACAGGTAGGGACAATCTCTTTAAATTATTCATCTAATCATGGAGGTACTTACATGCCTTTTACTAGTTCTGTTGTTTGCCAGGGCCGGGCCGGCAAAACTAGGAACCCTGTGCCAAACTATAATGACAGACCCAGTGCATAGAAGCTCCCACACAAGGTGGGGTCTGGGGAGGGATTATAGGAACCTAGTCTTACCCCTGCAAAGTGCAATGCAGAGAGGCTGGTTCGAACCCAGGACCTCTTGGCACAAGTGGGGAGGACTTCACCACTGTGCCAAACTATAATACGGGCCCTAATTAATCTAAGTGCAAAATCTTCTTTGAAAAAATCACCAAAGAAATCCATAAAACTTAATCACAAGAACTAAAACCATGTAGCTTAATCTCCCAATTTATATTTGGTTTACTACTCCCTCCGTCCGGGTTTATTAGGCCTAAAGACAACTTCTCTTAGACCAAGACACATAATAATTTGCTCACATTAATTCTTCAATTCCACTCTCAATGCACTCTCTCACATGCATGCAGCCAATGAAAAAGCACGCATGAAGTGTATTAATTTCCCATTCATGGCACCAACAACAATGGCTTTCAATGCAACCAATGAAATGGTTGCACGCATGCACCTTTCCAAAGCGAGGCCTTATAAAAAGGGACATGCTTGTGATGCTAAGAGGCCTAATAAACCCGGACGGAGGGAGTACTTTACTATTCTTGATTGAAAGTTGTCATCATAAGTGACAGGAAAAAGATTAATCAGGAGTGAGCACGGTAGTACCAGTTTAGACGAATCAATTAAACAGGTGTCCCTCTGGTCCCTGGGCATCCGCTGAGCAGGCCTATGTTTAGAATCCAGGGGCCCTGATGGTGTAGGCCTATTTGTGCGGATGCGCTGAACTGACCACAGGCTTTGGAAAAATTCGGGGCCCCTAGAAAGTTGGGGCCCTGTGCCGTCCGCACAGGCTGGATACCCCTCGGCCCGGCCCTGTTTTTTGCTATCCCTGGTGCTATGTAGCTTTTGGTCTTGCCCTGCTGAATCGTAACTATGGCTTGATGCCTTAGTTTGATCTTTAGGAATAATCCTGAGTGGTCGCGTCAAATGCCCCGTGATTGTGAATATCTGCATTTTTTTAAGGTTTAGACTGGGGAGTGTATTTATTGTTTATTTGTGACGACAGGATTGACATTTTTAAGCTTGCTTTACTGCTAAGTACGTTATGTTGATATAATCTCGAGGTGCTAAATATATCGTATATCATTTGAGCATAAAGATACATTCAGATGAGTAAGGAGTCTAACCCATGTGCCTTGTGAGTGATGTCACATTGTTCATCAGCGAACTCGAGGCACATAGCACCGCATGTTTTATGTAGCTTGTGCTGATTGGTCCAACTAATCCTGATGTCTTATTGCGTGATTAGTTGTTATGATGGGAATATTGAATTTTATTTTCCTTGAGCTTAATTACACAGTACACAGATAATCTCGATCGGATATTAGTTTTGTTGTTGGTCTCAAACTCTGAATGAGTGACCGCGTGTGGTTTCTGGCAGGGTTAAGAAGGTAACCACCAAAATGTCTGAGAAAGTGGCAGCTGTAACACTGTTATTTTGAGTTGTGAAGAGTAATGGATATTCTACAAGCTCATCAGCTAACTCAAAAGGCTGGCGAGAGGTTTCAGCCTATTACCTGGAGAGATTGTTGTTGCTTCCCTTCGCAGGTTTGGTGTGTGATCCCCTTTTTATGCCATACTTAAGGCCTACACTAAAAATAGTTATTACTGCTGCTTCTCCTCATAGAAGGCTGTCATGATAGTCGAGCTATCAGCTACTGCAGTCATATGCATAAACGCAGACAAATTTAGATGAAACCAAAGCCCTATTCGGCAGTCATCCAACTCCATGGAGTGCACGGAGCGACCCTTCGGCCACTCCGAGAAAGCAGGCTGCGGCCCGCTCCGCTCCGGCACGGAGCTGCGGAGCGGAGAGCTGCCAAACGGGGCGCAAGATTATTCTCGTACTAGTGCTGTATAAGCCAATATGTTCTCTTGCAAACTTGCAGACTAGCCTTTCCATATTGTTTTGGTGGTTGTTCATGAAAAATGTTGGGTGCATTGCTGAAGTTCAACAACATGATTTTCTGGTATGTGGAAGCCTAACTCTGTCAGCTGACTCCTTTCTTGCATAGGTTCTTCCGTTCTTTGGCCATCACTCCGTTTCATTGCGGCCTATGTTGAACACGGTGTTGGTGCCACTTGTGCATTGTACTATGTATGCGCCAAAGAGCTTACACTGGTGGTCACATCGGATAGATGGATGCATTGCATGCAGTACTGCTGGCAAGGTAGCTACAACTTGTGGCGATGGAGCCAGCCACCATGTAGAAGCTTCCAAGGCAGACACATGCCGGAATTAACAAAGGTCAACTAGCTAAGATGGATGTACACATGGGTTCCTTTTTTGTGTAGCGCAACGCAGAACTGCAGATAGGTCATTGGTTGCTTAGTTGCTTCACAAAGAGTTAGGTGGATCATGGACGAGGCCCTTCACGTACGGTACAGTGGTGAAGAGTCCATGAATAATGCGATCGCAATATAGTACTACACTGCTATATGGTTATCTAACATACTGGTCGGTGCCTACTGCTTCAACATAATGTAGTTAAATGAATTAATCTTCTCCTTTTTGCGTCCATTGATTCTTGAATATAAGATTAGTGGTGGCAGTTGTTGGCTTGTTGTAGTAGTTGAGGAGTAAATAATTAAGCTCAGCTGGGCATCTCTTTGTGCATGTCTAGTCAGTAGTCAACCATCAGTCTTGACGCGTTCAGATGGCTATATTAATTCAATCCGCCATGAGAGGCGAAAGGTCTCAACTGCTAATTTCTCCCCTGCTTCAGTTTGGGGGGTTGATCCATCTGCTGCTTCGTGGAGTTTGGTTGATCTGATATATCGCTGGCCATGAGTAACTGCTTTGTGAAGCCGACCTCTCGGAGCGAGGGTGAGATCCTCCAGTCGCCCAACCTCAGGAGCTTCGCCTACAGGGAGCTCAGGGCGGCCACTAGGAACTTCCGACCGGACAGCGCCCTCGGTGAAGGTGGCTTCGGGGTGGTATTCAAGGGGTGGGTCGACGAGACCACCTTTGCCCCGCCCAGCGGCAACGAGACTGGCATGCCAATCGCTGTTAAGAAGCTCAACCAGGAAGGCATCCAGGGCCACAGGGAATGGCTGGTCAGTGCTCACTACCAATCAATCCCAATTCATTCATCTCTTCAGCTCTCCAAATTTCTGAATACATTATTATCGAATAATATGTTCTTAGTTTCTGAATCTCATGTGCAGGCTGAAGTGAATTACCTTGGACAACTGTCGCACCCCAATCTGGTGAAGCTCCTAGGGTACTGTCTCGAAGACGTGCAGCACCTACTTGTCTATGAGTTCATGCCACGCGGAAGCTTAGAGAACCATATGTTCAGGAGTAATTACTAACTAGCCTTATTCTAGCGTTCCATTGATCAGTTAACACCTTCCAAATTAGTTACTACCGAGGATGAAAGATTAGTTAGTGGGATATAATAACAAGTTTGGTTGAATGATGATGTAGGGGGCTCACATTTCCAGCCACTGTCATGGAATCTGAGGATGAATGTTGCTCTTGGGGCAGCCAAGGGGCTCGCGTTTCTACATAGCGACAAGGCCAATGTCATCTACCGTGATTTCAAGATGGGAAATGTTCTTCTTGATTTGGTATGTTTCTGTTCTTTCCTTCTAATTTGCTGATTTTTTTTTGTTCAGTACCTTATTAATGCTAACTGTGTTGACTGATGGATTTCAGAGCTACAACGCAAAGCTGTCTGATTTTGGGTTGGCAAGGGATGGGCCAGCTGATGATAAGAGCCATGTCTCTACAAGGGTCATGGGCACATATGGATATGCAGCCCCTGAATATCTTGATACAGGTAAAATACTTAAATTAAAGTAAATTAAATGAACACATAGCTTAATTCGTCTTCAAAGCCATGATCAGATGTTTTTTTTTGAATTTTAACCATGATCAGATGTAGCATCGATTATATTCATCGTATGCTTGGTATCGCTGAAACGGTTTTATTTTCTTCTGTTAAACCTTCGAGCATGATAGTTTGCTTGTCAGGGTTGAATGATGATGTTGTTAAGCAGTAGGTATGGTATATGAACCACTATGAGATAAATAACACTATTAAAATTCTTGAGCTGGTGCTGAGGACGCCATATACTCATATTAGTTAGGTGCAACACAACTTCTCCAAAAAAGTTATGGTTTCAGACCTGACTGGACCCCTTCACCACATGCGCTAAACCTTTTGATTAATTAAGTATCACAGCCATCTGCATCGGTATATGCACTTTAATTTAAGGGAGTAGCAGGTGATTGATCCATAAAGGAGTCCATGTACTTTGTACCAACAGGTCAATGGCGGCCCTAACTTGTTCTTTAGTTGATGAGCTGTTTAATGTAATACTCATATAATCTTGCTAATGCGAGTACACTAATCCATGGTGGTTCATTGTCTTCTCCTCTGTAGCATCTGAATACGAACAAGGAAAAAAATGATCTTGATGTCTATCGAAACTGAACCACTAGATGGAGCATCTAGTTGGACTGCTTATCTACTACTAGTCCTGTCTGAACCTTTGCTTTAACAGGGCATCTGACGACGAAGTGCGACGTGTACAGCTTCGGCGTGGTGCTGCTGGAGATGTTGTCCGGCCGGCGCGCCCTGGACAAGAACCGGCCGGCCGGCGAGCACAAGCTGGTGGAGTGGGCATCGCCGTACCTGACAAGCAAGCGCCGCATCTCTCAAATCCTGGACGCGCGGCTGGGCGGGCAGTACCCCCTTGGCAGCGCGCAGAAGGCTGCCGCGCTGGCGCTCAAGTGCATCTCTGTCAACCCGAAAGCCCGGCCAAGGATGGAGCAGGTGGTGGCAGCGCTGGAGCAGCTCCAGGACGACAAGGAGACCGTGGTGACTGGTGGAGGCGCCTGCGGCTTCTTCAGGATGTGTGGCGGTGGCAGGCAGCAGCAGCAGCAGCAGACGTAGCCCGGCGCTGCACCGGTGAGCACTGATGAAGGGTTGATTGTAATGAGAGATGATTTATTAGTGCTTCTTGCATTTGCAAATTCAGGGCTTCCATTTTTCCCCGCTTCTTTAGGCAGGATGATGACCAGTGGAGTTTTTGTTCCCGTTAGAAATGAGCTGAAAAATAACATGCAAAAATGTTTTATTTCCATGGTTGAATGGATCAATACTGCATGGTAATCGGACCTGATGTTAATGGCAATCAGTTATGAACTGAACTGTACTATATTTCTAACTGTTTGGTTATCTTGTACTCCCTCTTTAAATTTTTATAAGAGCGTTGTAGTGATCTAAATGCTCTTATAAAAGTTTACAGAGGGAATACAAGTTTCCTCCCAGAAATGCTGAAATTCTACGACCCAGAAATATTTCTCTCATAAGAATTTCTCCGTTTCCAAATTAGTTATTTATATCCCACAAGAAAGTCAAAGGATGATATTGGAGTTGCATAACAAATCTTAACATGTTTCGGAAGTAAGTCAGAAGCAAGATTTTGTTGACCATAGAGATGGACGTTCACATTTGCACACTATGGGTCTGACTCTGACGTAGTCCAACAATCATTTGAATTCCTTTTAGAAGATACTCAACTCATCTTTAAAAAGAGGTTAAAGTGGTGGAGTTTAAGGAACTGGGATTGTGTATGGCTTTTGGCACTTCATAATTTATAGTTAGATTACTACTCCCTCCATTCCAGAATATAAGATGTATTGGTCTCCGTGCAAGTCAACCATTTCAATGTTTGATCAAGATTATAGGATAAAATAACAACATCCGCAATACCTAATAGATAAAATATGAAACTAGTTTTCATGATGGATCAAGTTATATAAATTTCGTATTGTGGATATTGATATATATATTTTCTAAAAACTCGGTCAAACATGCACTCGTTTGACTTTTGAAAAAACAAATACACCTTATATAAAGGAACAGAGGGAGTATCTCGTTATTGTTGAAGGGGAGTGAAGTGCATTGTTGGTCCCTAAACTATTTCAGGGGTGTCATGTAGGTTATCAAACTGTGAAAATCAACATATAGGTCCTCAAAACTGGATGATGTAATGCTCTGAATTTGAAGCTTTAACAGTATGTAGATATAGTCTTGTTCAGATCTTACTGAAGAAGAGAGAGGGTTATTAGGCAGGTTACTTCAGAGGCTTTGTTCAGATCTAACTGACTGAATAATTTAGTTAACTTAACAGGGGATCTAACTGACTGAATAAGTTTTACGACATGTTTTTATCAACTCTTAGTTAAGGCATTGTGGCAGTTTTCAGTTTGGAATAGGGCACAAAAGACCAATAGATTATGCACTATTGTGCACTAATAGGAGCACAATTAAGTTTATTGCAGTCTATCAATTTGAAATTGACTTCCCTTGTTCTTATTTCTAGAGCGTAGTGACAAATACATACTCCAACTAAATTTCTAGAGCATAGTGAACAGAAGGAGAACAGCCACAATCCCTTTGGAGTATATGTGCTGCTTGAAGGTGCATAATTCAAATAATTTCCCTCAATTGGAGTTTTGTGCTGCTTGAATTGTTTCTACAGGAATAATGTTTCCAATTTGGCTAAATCTGGCCTGAATTTGCTGCTAGTGCTAGGACATGCTCAACACTGCCCTGTTTCAGTCTTGTTTTTTTTGCATAACTGAATTTACTAGCACCATTTTGCATCTTGCCATTACTGTCCAATTGGAAACTTTAGGTATGTTTGCAATTGGACAAATGGTGTATAAATCCAAATAAATCAAAATAAAGCAAATAAATTCAAATGATTCAAATAAATTCAAATAAAGCAAATAAATTCAAATGATTCAAATAATTCCAAATAAAGCAAATAAATTCAAATGATTCAAATAAATCTAAATAAAGCAAATAAATTCAAATGATTCAAATAAATCCAAATAAATTCAAATGATTCAGATAAATTCAAATAAATCCAAATACTTCGATCCTTTCTTTTCCTATCACTTCTCATTGAACACATGACACAATACATACACATGACACAAGCCATACACATGACACAATACATACGCATGCCACATCACATACTCCTGTCCTTTCTTTTCCTTTTCCCTTTCCCTTACTTTTTTTCCTTTCTCTATCTACTCATTTCCTTGTTCTATAATGGCCTTGGTGTCAGTAATTAGCTCAGGACTGCAGTATACACCGATTATTTCCTCTCTAGCATTCTGTAGACGCTCCTTATGCAGATGTGGCATCTTGTAGTTGTTTCCTTCTTGATCTTTCATCACTTCGACCATGACTGCTTCCAATGTCATAAAGCTTTTGAACAGTTTATGGGCATCGTAGTTCTCAAACTCCTCCTCTACACCCTGTACCAATTCTTGAATATTCATAGGTGCTCTACAGTCGGTTAGGAATTGGAGGGAGCAGTGGAAACAAACATCTAACACAATGAGCTCAGGACTGTTCGGTGGTTGTTGCAATAGTCGAATATCCAGATCTGTCTGTGCCACGGCTTCTAGAAAATCGACATCATTAGGAAGGACATGTGGTGTTGCATTATCTTGTTGAATGAAAATCATTGTGTCCTCGTTAGCATCAGGCCATTTGTCCTAAATAGCAGGGATTACTTTATTGATCAGGTAATCTCTGCACACAGGTCTAGTAACTTTCACCGATCTCAACTCTATTTGTGGCTTGCTCGTTGTGCCTCGGTCTGTACCACAAACGGCCAAATGCCAAGTTCACTACAAGAAATATGTCAACTAGTGACCTTCTGTCAGTGACCCTGGAAGAATTGGTCATAGATCTATGACCATTTCAGACTAATTGGTCAAAAGCTGTTCGGGGGACTCCAAACCCTAAACCATTGCGACCATTTTGGTCAGAAAGGTCGTAATTTCCTTACACGAAATGGTCACAAAGCAAACAGTGCTAGTCCGCTGCCTTATTTCTAGTTGTTAATGACCAATATAGATGGTCATAGCCTTGTAGATTATGGTGGGTTGTGATGACTAGGCGCCATCTCATCAGTTTTGCCTATGTGTCATGTCCATGTGGCAGTTTTTGCCCTAGGTTGTGAAGCAACCTATATTTCTGTTATTCCAAAAATTCCCAAAAAATTCTCATAAATGTTTTGAATCATATCTTTATCAAATATGTCAAAAACATTCCTTGCCTAGTTCAAAAATAATTCGAAAATATTCATTTTCCTATTCTGTTCAGAGCAGCACTTTGTGAAGGAAGTACCACTTTGGCATGTCCAAATGGTATCAATTTTCTACAGTGCTTTCCTATGCCCAAATAACCATCCTCCACCAAATGACAGCTCAATCCATTCATTATTTTGAGCCCAGCTTCAACATTCGTATTTGTGTCCAGTGTGGTACTTTGTAAAGCAAGTACCACCTAGGCTCCTCCTTTTGAGGTGAAAATTTGTGAAGACGGTCTTCTTAGTAACTGATCATCCTCAGCCAAAACTCACTCCCATTAGCCATGTGCATTTCCCGTACCGCAAATCAAACACTTGGCTGCTTATTCATGTTTGAGCATCGATAGGTCTCCTCGTGAGAATCTTATGTTGTGATTTTCTTCCTAGCACATACCTGGGGAGTGCCCAACCCACTAGACATGCCTAGGCCGCCCAGAACACATGGCAACGCCACGGTCACACGGTGACCACGCAGCGGGCATGCGAGCTTACGCGCTCTAGAGTTGGGGCCCTCGGCCACCGTCCAAACCTCGATGTCTCGCCATCAAACCATGTATTTCTGATTAAATAGATACTTATTTACCTAGAAATGATTTTTGGAAAAAATAAAGAGCAAACTATGAGGCAGCTGCAGTTCAAATTTAACCCGTTTCCAACTGAATCGACGACAATTTGTCTTTTTCACCAGAGGTGGATCAAAACTTTTTTCACCCAACCATTTTTCAATTGTGCATTATATATGGCCTAGTATTTTATAAAATTGATTTGGTCCATTTTTGCAACAATTATTTGGTAGTTCCTTCACAAAAAAACATCCTTTTGGGCACTCAGAAAATGAAAAATGAATTTTCTGTGCAAAGAAAATGAAAACTTCCTTAGGCAACATTGTTTGGATTTCTAAGATGTACCCTTGTGCACAATATGAGATCATTTGAACAAACTATGGCATGAATGTGGCCATAAGATTGATCATTTGGCTTGAAAGCCATGAATCTTCACGCATGATAGCTCATTTCTGATAACAATTTTTTAAAATAATTACCGTATTACAAGTTTATTATTTTTCCTGGAAACTTAGTCACATATAACTTGTGTTGTTGGTAGAACTCCGTTGAGGACTTCTACCCATGTTGAAGAGCATGTTCTGTGGTATCCAAGAGTAGCTAGCTTTTGTACTGGCAGATCGGTCTATTTGTAGATCCCAATATTTATGATTGTGTGGATCTGGGTGAAGTTTGAAGTTCCTGGGTATGCAAGATTCGATGGTTAAACTGTTTGATGTGATGTGAATGAGTGTAGGGAAACTGGTTGTTGTGATGTGAATGAGTGTATGTAGTTTCACGTGTTCTGTTCTGTATAACATATTGTAATAAACTTATTTTAGCTGTTATTTGAAGATTTTCATATGCTTTCTCTCTTCTCTCTGTTTGATATATATATATATATATATATATATATATATATATATATATATATTACTTATTAATAAGCTGTGAAAAATCTGACATTTGGGACCCATCTGTAAACTGGAGCTGGGAAAAAAAAGCTGGAAATAAAAAATAAATTGACTGCAAAATGTTGTGCGCTAGAAAATAAAAAGGCCAAATTGTAGGCCAGGCCCATGTAGCTAACGAAATTAACATAAAATACATATATTAAAAGGGCTTGCCTAAAAAAATACATGGGCCGAATTACTGGGTCAGACCCATGTAGCTAATAAAAGCACAGGAAAAAAATACATTAAAAAGGCCGAATTGTTGGGCTAGGCCCATGT